ATTGGTCTCCTTCACTGTTTTGGAATGTATACTATCAACTCCTGTTAGCAGTTATATTTTCATTTTATTGAAGTGAAAACTGAATTTGAATTCAGACTCCATTCAGGGCATCAATTATAGTTATAGTCAGGGAAATACGTAGAAGAAATGAGGAGCAATAGGGAATGGGAGCAAATGACAAAAGGTTGGATTGACTTGGTTCTGTATGCCACGTTTGCTTGGCGCAAGAAACCCGAGGCTCTGAAGTAAAGATTGAGATCATCTTGCTAGGTTTTGGAAAATAGAAAGTTTCTTAATGCTGTTTAATTTTGGACCCCAACATCCATGTCAAAAAACTTTTTTTTTGACTGTGAATGAATAGGATTGAAAGATAATAGGATTATACACAGAGTAACAGAATGGAAGTTGAAACAAAGACTTTGATGTTTAAAGTTAAGCAGAAATGACACTTATATAAAACAAGTCGCCTGTTTGCTCTTTCTGCCCTTCTAAATCCTCACTACTACTGACTTTTTTTTTTGGATTCTTCTGTTTTTAGCGTGGAGAATAGGTAGATGGATGGAAAATCTTCACATGTGAGTGTGGCCGGACTGAGTAGTATGTATAATTCCAGCTTTCTTAAAGAAATACTGAATCAAAGGTGTTCAAATGCTAATTCATTTTAGCAAATTAAAGGCACCAATTGCCATTTTAAACTTAGTATTTAACCATGCAACTAATGGGGGTGTTTGTAACAAGTATTTGCTGTATTAAAAAATGTGTAAACACTCAATATCGCTGTGATATGTCACTGTGTATAATAAGAATGCAGCTGTCTACTAGTTTTTTTTGACATCCAAATTTTTAACTGTGGTATATTAGAGTTCCATGGCCACTTGGCTGTCTCATGTGGCTTTGAACATAGTACTTTCCGGTCAATTTTGTGAGCAGTGGAATTATTCCAAACTGTTTACGGATTGGATTATAGCAATAATTGATCTCCTGGTAGACATGAGTTGCTAACATACTCGTACAACTGCTTTTTTTTTAGTATTACTTGGATAAGTTGCAACGATATTGGTAGTAATTGCAGTCCACCATTTGTTTACATCGACACGTCAGTTTGAACAAAATATGTAGTCTAAAGCCTTTACTAATTATAGATGTTTTATTAGCATAGCACTTACTACCTGTTAGATGATTGGTCGTGGTTTAACCTGAGGTGAAGTTGAGAAGAGTTCTTGATGGTAACTTTCTCTAGTACGGGAATTAAACTCACTATGGGTGTTACTCAACACAAACCAGCCTCCAGCCAGCTGAGCTAAACTGCCTGTTTGTTATGTAACTTAGTCAAACTTGCCAAACCTTCTGAGGAAGGGTCACCAAACCCAAAACCTTAACTCTGCTTTCTAGCTACAGTTGCATGGCAGACCTGCTATGTTTTCACAGCAGTTAGTATTTTGTTTTTGATTTCCTGCATCCACCCTTTTGGGGTGTGTTTTTTTTCCTTGAATATTTTGTTCCATTAACATGGCATTCTTTCTTAGCCTACTTTGTCATTAGACAGTCTTTTTGTTTTCCCCCCAATTTCTGGACAAGAGGTGGGCTTTCTTGCATTCTTATGGCCTCTACTCTACTCAAGTCATGTGTTCTCCAAAGATGGTGCTGCTGTGGCTAATCACCATAACTACATACCCAACATTAAGACACCAGCATGAATCAATACTTCTGCAACAAATGAGTTGAAATGTCCCAAGCTTTAGTCATGATTTTAGTTCCCTATAATGGGTCTTTTTCTATAAATTCAATTTGGGCATTGGTTACTTTTGTGAAAGGCTATTTTCTGTTCTTTTTTGTTTGGCAAATAAAAGTCAGTCCTTCCAGAATGGGACCGAATCCAACATGGCTCAGATAACAAGTAGCTGTAGACCCAATGATGAAAAAAAATATTAATACTATGGTGGCTTACACCTGGTAGCTGAACACTGCAAGTCATTTTTTCTTCTTTTTGTTTGCAGTTCTGTATATCTGAGGATTTTTTAAGCTTTGAAACAAAACTCTGGGATTGAAAGTGTTTAGGGCTGGTGAGAAGACCTGACTGGGATTAGAAACTTATTTTCGTTTTCTTTGTCTTTCCCGAATTGTCTTGCACATTTATATATATATTTTTAAAGTTACCTCAAGAAGGGTCCTCATGTGGCATAGTGGTAGTGTCCCTACCCTTGGACCAGGAGGCTCAGGTTAAAGTTCCACCTGCTCCAGAGATGTATAATGACATCTCTGAACATGTTGATTCAAAAAACATTTTCAAATTTTTATATTTAAAAAAAAAAGTCCAATTTCTAAGAATTACCTCAGTAGAAATGTTTAAATTCCACAGCTTTTCAGACCAGGGGAGGTTTGGTTTGAAACCTGCAGGTTGTTTGTAATAAGTAGTCATGCAAGACTCCACAGTTCATGGGAGAAACTGGGGAATATCAATTAAGTAGAATTTGGATGTAATGGAGAAGTAATTTCTCAATTTCTGCAAAAGTTGAGAAATGGGTTGAAACTTTTAATTGCGTTCTAAGATTTTTCTAAAATCTTCTGTAGTGGTTGGCTTTCTGTCCTTTTGTGTAAAATCTTCTTCTGTTTTTTAAATAGCGGCCTCCTAGAACTGTTTCAGTGACCTCCATGTTAAGTAACTAGAAGAAGAAATCTGACTTGTTCAGTAGTGCCATCAGTTGGAATTGTAACCCCCTCAACCATGATTTAAACTTGGAGGTTCAGAATTTTACATGGCTAAGTCTTGATGACTTGTCCCAAATATAAAGACTTTTTCTTCTTTTCCCTTCTTGCTCAAATACTGCCTGCATTTGTCCCCATCAACCCTTGGAAATTTCAATTACTACTACAGTTTGTAACTAGATTGTACAAGTACTATCCCTGTTGCTCATATGGAAGCTTGTACATGTATTTCTAAAACAAATCCCTATGGCGTTCTGAATTTTGTTTTAGTACTTTCTAAACTCCTTGGGGATTTGGTTCTCTAAACCATGTGGGTAAAAGTAGCTTCTAACTGACTAACATAACTGCTTATACAGGCAGCACATTAACCTATTTTCATTAGGTAACAAAGGGAACCAATTGGCCCTTCTATCTTGCTGCTCATTGACTACAAGCTTTTGTTTTGGACGTGATGTAATGAACCAATGTAGTGAGTACTTAAATAACTTGCATGCCTTGACCGTAAACTAATAAGGTTTTCCTTGGGTTTGAGCTAACCTCTCTTTTAATAATGCTTTGATTTAAGTTAAATAAAATGCATTCTGACCTTTGCATACATGTGCTCCTGAAGTTCTGTTATGTGCACAGATTCAAATTACAGACTGGGACAGGTTTGTTCCAGAAAAAGTGAAAAGACAGTTTAGTGATTCACCTGGTTTTGGGCTAACCTGCTTAATCTTCTTCTAACTTCAGGGTTTCCAGTTCCAGCTGATTTTATGTGGTCCCCCTGTATAGGGTAATGCTAGTTTGATTTTTCTTGAATCCCTTTATCTGTATCAAGGGCACCCCGGATGATCTGTCAACAGGGCAAAAAAACTTGCCAGGTGGGTTGGGGAGAGATGGTGTGAGATTTTGCCACTGAGGTTCGTCCATCTTAGCTAGTTGTCCTCAGCTTTGCAAAGAAAATCATTAGGAAAAATGATAATGGCAAGTCTTGGTGCTTGATACCTTCCCAGATGCTGCTGCTCCACTTTGGACAGTCTTGGGCCAGTGATTCCCAGGTGTCTGGGAATGCTGCACTTCCTCAGTGAGGCCTCAAGGGTATTACCGAAGCACTTCCTCTGTTCTCCGGGGCTTGCCTGCTATTTCAAGATTAGGAGTAGAGCACCTGCTTGGAGTCTTGTAGCCAATCAAGGTTGGTGAATACCTCTGCTAGGGATGTTGGCCTGATCGCGGACGTTGGTGTTGGTGCATCTTTCTTCCCAGTGGATTTGCGGGATCTTGCATGGGCAGTGTTGCTGTTGCTACTGCTTCAGCGCCTTGGTGTCTGCTGTAGACATTCCACATCTCAGCCATGTAAACCTTGATTTTTTTTTGGTGTTGCATCTGATGTGGTTCTCTCATCCTTTCTTCCTTAGGTGATTAAAGGCTGCACTAGCCCACTGAAAGTGATGTTGGATCTCTTCACTAATGGCTGCTTTAGCTGACTGACCACTTCCAATACCTTCGAAGTGGCCTACATTTCTCTAAGACCTCCCCATGGACCTTGATCGGGGAGGGGGAGGGGGTTTGCTGCACAATACCAGGCCAGGTTGATGAAGCACCTTCATCTTGCTGATATGCTAAGTGAGACCCATGCTTTCATGCCCTCATAAAGTGCTGCTGATGATCTGGAGTATGTCCTCGGAGGTTGCACACGAACAAGCATCATCTGCAGAGTGCTGACTTGTTACAACCGTACCTGAATTTCATTGCAATTTCAGATGAGTACCCTAAATCGTCAGCTCCCAAATGAGAAGGGAGAGACTGGCTGGCTTTTTTTTTCACCTGTACTCGTACTCGTTTTTTTTTCAACAAGGCTAACTTAAAGGGTCCCTGTGCTTGTGAATTCTTCTTTGTTCTTTTTAGAGCAAATGAATTTTGAATTATCCAGGTTTTGAGTTAACAAAACCATGAGTTGGCTAGCAAGTGGGAGAAGTAAATGCAAGCATATAAAATTATTCCTAATCAACAGTTTCTTTTTCAAAAAAAAATTAAAATTTCAACTTTTTCTCGACAAAAACAAACTGAGTTGATAGTAGATGTTGCAGCCTCTACGTGGTGAGTACATTGGTTGAGCAGGCCATTTTCATGGCCCTTCACTTATTTGCTGGTTCATGTAATTCTGGCTGGCAGCACTTAGTGTGCTGGCTTTGTCTTTGTCTTTTTCCCTTCTCTCTGCCTGCATACATGGGTGTTTAATGGATTTCTCCAACTGATGCTAGCAACACTAGTCCACACACTAGCACATCAGCTCCCTGACACAAACTAGGGGTTGTAGTCAGTTCTTGTATAAGAGTCATCACTCAAGCGGTGAAATGGCCTCTTGTTGAGGGTGAGGAAGTGGTGGTTATGGTGGTGGTGGTGTCCTCGTTATCTTTATCCTAAGTCTTTTGAACAGAGTTTCTTATTTACCTTTTGGTGTATATAGGTGTGACATTCCAAGGGTCTGCACAGAATTCTGCCAGACCATCTCTTAGATTGACATCCATGGTGTTTTATGGTTGCAGCAGTCCTTCACATGCACTTTGCAATTAAATTGAACATATACATAAGTAGTTCAGGGTTCTGGTCCATCGTTGTGATGTCTGTCATAGACCTTCCTTCTCCATCTGCTGTGAGGATCTAGTAACATTGGTTACAAATACATTCTGAGGGTAATTTTGTTTTGGTCTTGTTTGGGAAGCTGTCTTGGCAAGGGTTCAAAGTGACTATCCAAATGATTTTGTTTAATGGCTTGTCTCCTATCGTTGAATCGTCAAGTAATTGACAACCTTGGAAATGTGACAAGATTTGGGTATTTCACATTGACTTGAAGGTGGTTTTTATTTTTGAGTTTAGAGATATCCAT